TATATATATATATATATATATATACATACACTCGTCTCCATTATTAGTACATACGTGTATGCACTAATCATGTGGAAGACATTATTATTGGTTGAATTACAATTATACATAACGAGTATGCATGATATCTGATGTCGAATGATTATTATCTACTATACGGCATTTTTTTTAAAGAGGAATGCGTGAGAAATTGTGAACGCGAACGGTTACGCCCAATGATAAAAAGCAACATTAATGAGAGCGCCGAGAAGCGACAGAAGCGCATAAAATATTTCGGGAGATACAACTGTCGTGCCGTTGCAGGCATCCTCGTGACAGAGGTCGCAGTTCTTCATCATGCCCAATTGATCCTTCTGTATTTTTCCCTCCATCACCGTACAAGGATCAATGTGATCCGTTTTGTTTGTTTGGCACGTTCTTACGATCACTTCTTTATCCACTTTATCCACTGTAAAAAAATACATGGCACTCTTAACGTTAATTGTCCTAGAAACATCCCAATATGTAAACATTTTCAGGGGTAACTTGCCGTTAAGAACCATTTTGGCGCAAGCCATGTTCTGAGGAGTTCTTTGAGAATGCTGTAGCGCTTCGTCGATCCCGAAAAGGCTCACGATCTTGCTGAGGGTCCTGTGTTGCTGAAGATCTCTCTGCCATTCAAATATCTTGTTAACAGTGCATTCTACCGGTTGTAACGAGTTGTTAAAAGCGGAACCGCAACCTTCGTCCGACAGCGAGGTGCACATGTAGCATTTTAGTACGTCTGCCGATAAGAAATATATAGATAATATAAGCCAGCCCGTACGAATCAAACTGATTGCTTATATCGCACACGTTTTATTAATTATTATTAAATTATTACTCATATTATTTTTGCGCTGCAAGAGAGAAAGAAGATATAGAAATATAAACGGTCAGCAGGTAAAAAAAGAAAAGTCAGATATTGTCAAAAGTTGCTCATGGACACTCCAAACGCACGTCAGCATGGTATGTCTTGGCTCTAATTTTCCTCCCGTAAGTTCTGGGAAAAACTTTGTGGTGGATAATGAATTTTCACATATGCCGACATGCCTTTGGAGTGTCCATGAGCAACTTCTGACAATCTCTTGACTTTTCTTTTTTTATCTGCTGACCGTTTATATTTCTATATCTTCTTTCTCTCTTGCAGCGCAAAAATAATATGAGTAATAATTTAATAATAATTAATGACCGTTTGTATTTTTCTATTTAACATTTCTCATGTATTATTGAAGAGAGTCCAGGACAGAAATGTTTGGTTGCGCTATTATGTTATTTTTTTTGCGATTCGCGTTTTTTGTGACCATTATTCATATTAGAATGTTTAATATTACAAATTATCAGTTAAGACATTCACAAATTGTTATAATTTTCATGACCTGAATATATTACGCTGGCATTCGCTACTGCTCCTAAAGCCTTATTTATTTATTTCTTTGTTTTTTATTTTTAAATAAAAATTATTATTATTATTATTATTTTTTATTTTTTTTATATGCCGATATTTGCAGATTTATATTTTCATACACGGTGTGCATGAAAACTCGGACTACGTTCGACGATTGACTTCACATTTTGCATGCGAGTTCCTAATAAAATTCCGCATTTGCTAACAAAGCCTTTTTTAAATCCGATTCCCTATTTTTTTGTTATAAACAAAAAAAAAATGGATTTTTTTTAACGGAATTTTTTTTCAGCATATGTCACCATTTTTCTATTTTCCAAAATTTTGAAGAAACGCTTGGATAGCAGATAGCTATTAATATGTTTAATAAAAAAATTGTATTTTTAATTTTAGATATGATAAACGAATGTTTTCATGCACGCTGTGCATGAAAATATAAATCTGCAAATATTCGTATAACTTCCAAAAAAAATTTTATGCTGAAAATTTTTAGCTAAATACTTAATAATATTGTATTAATATTGTAAAAAAAAGGTTTTTATCAAATCGTTGCGCTGCCAAAAAATCTAGAAAATTTATTCATTTTCCGAAGATTCAAACGAATATGCTTCCTTAACAAAGAAAGAAAAGATCTCTTTCTTGCACATAAGTCTATACAATCAGTGAGCCCCGCGCTGTGAAGTGTGCACCGCCACATACTATCAGGCGGGCGCCTCACGAATGTTGGCACAATCTTTACCGGACATCCTGTATATAGATTCACTATCTATTGTCCATTTTAACTTCTTGCTCGGTTTATTTTTCTGAAATTATTAAGAGGATGCCGGACCGTCCTGTTTTACCGGCCATAATAATTATATATTTGCTTAATATAAGGGTTTTGCGGTGTGTATGTGCAAAATAGGATACCTCTCCACTCGGTGTGTGTGTGTGTGTGTGTGTGTGTGTGTGTGTGTGTGTGTGTGTGTGTGTGTGTGTGTGTGTGTGTGTGTGTGTGTGTGTGTGTGTGTGTGTGTGTGTGTGTGTGTGTGTGTGTGTGTGTGTGTGTGTGTGTGTGTGTGTGTGTGTGTGTGTGTGTGTGTGTGTGTGTGTGTGTGTGTGTGTGTGTGTGTGTGTGTGTGTGTGTGTGTGTGTGTGTGTGTGTGTGTGTGTGTGTGTGTGTGTGTGTGTGTGTGTGTGTGTGTGTGTGTGTGTGTGTGTGTGTGTGTGTGTGTGTGTGTGTGTGTGTGTGTGTGTGTGTGTGTGTGTGTGTGTGTGTGTGTGTGTGTGTGTGTGTGTGTGTGTGTGTGTGTGTGTGTGTGTGTGTGTGTGTGTGTGTGTGTGTGTGTGTGTGTGTGTGTGTGTGTGTGTGTGTGTGTGTGTGTGTGTGTGTGTGTGTGTGTGTGTGTGTGTGTGTGTGTGTGTGTGTGTGTGTGTGTGTGTGTGTGTGTGTGTGTGTGTGTGTGTGTGTGTGTGTGTGTGTGTGTGTGTGTGTGTGTGTGTGTGTGTGTGTGTGTGTGTGTGTGTGTGTGTGTGTGTGTGTGTGTGTGTGTGTGTGTGTGTGTGTGTGTGTGTGTGTGTGTGTGTGTGTGTGTGTGTGTGTGTGTGTGTGTGTGTGTGTGTGTGTGTGTGTGTGTGTGTGTGTGTGTGTGTGTGTGTGTGTGTGTGTGTGTGTGTGTGTGTGTGTGTGTGTGTGTGTGTGTGTGTGTGTGTGTGTGTGTGTGTGTGTGTGTGTGTGTGTGTGTGTGTGTGTGTGTGTGTGTGTGTGTGTGTGTGTGTGTGTGTGTGTGTGTGTGTGTGTGTGTGTGTGTGTGTGTGTGTGTGTGTGTGTGTGTGTGTGTGTGTGTGTGTGTGTGTGTGTGTGTGTGTGTGTGTGTGTGTGTGTGTGTGTGTGTGTGTGTGTGTGTGTGTGTGTGTGTGTGTGTGTGTGTGTGTGTGTGTGTGTGTGTGTGTGTGTGTGTGTGTGTGTGTGTGTGTGTGTGTGTGTGTGTGTGTGTGTGTGTGTGTGTGTGTGTGTGTGTGTGTGTGTGTGTGTGTGTGTGTGTGTGTGTGTGTGTGTGTGTGTGTGTGTGTGTGTGTGTGTGTGTGTGTGTGTGTGTGTGTGTGTGTGTGTGTGTGTGTGTGTGTGTGTGTGTGTGTGTGTGTGTGTGTGTGTGTGTGTGTGTGTGTGTGTGTGTGTGTGTGTGTGTGTGTGTGTGTGTGTGTGTGTGTGTGTGTGTGTGTGTGTGTGTGTGTGTGTGTGTGTGTGTGTGTGTGTGTGTGTGTGTGTGTGTGTGTGTGTGTGTGTGTGTGTGTGTGTGTGTGTGTGTGTGTGTGTGTGTGTGTGTGTGTGTGTGTGTGTGTGTGTGTGTGTGTGTGTGTGTGTGTGTGTGTGTGTGTGTGTGTGTGTGTGTGTGTGTGTGTGTGTGTGTGTGTGTGTGTGTGTGTGTGTGTGTGTGTGTGTGTGTGTGTGTGTGTGTGTGTGTGTGTGTGTGTGTGTGTGTGTGTGTGTGTGTGTGTGTGTGTGTGTGTGTGTGTGTGTGTGTGTGTGTGTGTGTGTGTGTGTGTGTGTGTGTGTGTGTGTGTGTGTGTGTGTGTGTGTGTGTGTGTGTGTGTGTGTGTGTGTGTGTGTGTGTGTGTGTGTGTGTGTGTGTGTGTGTGTGTGTGTGTGTGTGTGTGTGTGTGTGTGTGTGTGTGTGTGTGTGTGTGTGTGTGTGTGTGTGTGTGTGTGTGTGTGTGTGTGTGTGTGTGTGTGTGTGTGTGTGTGTGTGTGTGTGTGTGTGTGTGTGTGTGTGTGTGTGTGTGTGTGTGTGTGTGTGTGTGTGTGTGTGTGTGTGTGTGTGTGTGTGTGTGTGTGTGTGTGTGTGTGTGTGTGTGTGTGTGTGTGTGTGTGTGTGTGTGTGTGTGTGTGTGTGTGTGTGTGTGTGTGTGTGTGTGTGTGTGTGTGTGTGTGTGTGTGTGTGTGTGTGTGTGTGTGTGTGTGTGTGTGTGTGTGTGTGTGTGTGTGTGTGTGTGTGTGTGTGTGTGTGTGTGTGTGTGTGTGTGTGTGTGTGTGTGTGTGTGTGTGTGTGTGTGTGTGTGTGTGTGTGTGTGTGTGTGTGTGTGTGTGTGTGTGTGTGTGTGTGTGTGTGTGTGTGTGTGTGTGTGTGTGTGTGTGTGTGTGTGTGTGTGTGTGTGTGTGTGTGTGTGTGTGTGTGTGTGTGTGTGTGTGTGTGTGTGTGTGTGTGTGTGTGTGTGTGTGTGTGTGTGTGTGTGTGTGTGTGTGTGTGTGTGTGTGTGTGTGTGTGTGTGTGTGTGTGTGTGTGTGTGTGTGTGTGTGTGTGTGTGTGTGTGTGTGTGTGTGTGTGTGTGTGTGTGTGTGTGTGTGTGTGTGTGTGTGTGTGTGTGTGTGTGTGTGTGTGTGTGTGTGTGTGTGTGTGTGTGTGTGTGTGTGTGTGTGTGTGTGTGTGTGTGTGTGTGTGTGTGTGTGTGTGTGTGTGTGTGTGTGTGTGTGTGTGTGTGTGTGTGTGTGTGTGTGTGTGTGTGTGTGTGTGTGTGTGTGTGTGTGTGTGTGTGTGTGTGTGTGTGTGTGTGTGTGTGTGTGTGTGTGTGTGTGTGTGTGTGTGTGTGTGTGTGTGTGTGTGTGTGTGTGTGTGTGTGTGTGTGTGTGTGTGTGTGTGTGTGTGTGTGTGTGTGTGTGTGTGTGTGTGTGTGTGTGTGTGTGTGTGTGTGTGTGTGTGTGTGTGTGTGTGTGTGTGTGTGTGTGTGTGTGTGTGTGTGTGTGTGTGTGTGTGTGTGTGTGTGTGTGTGTGTGTGTGTGTGTGTGTGTGTGTGTGTGTGTGTGTGTGTGTGTGTGTGTGTGTGTGTGTGTGTGTGTGTGTGTGTGTGTGTGTGTGTGTGTGTGTGTGTGTGTGTGTGTGTGTGTGTGTGTGTGTGTGTGTGTGTGTGTGTGTGTGTGTGTGTGTGTGTGTGTGTGTGTGTGTGTGTGTGTGTGTGTGTGTGTGTGTGTGTAAATGGACTGTTATACGCGTCGACCGATGTTATGTTGGGGTTGTTATTATTTAGGTCGCAAAGTGCCAAAGTGGCGCCAAATGTCGCGACGCTTCATCCCTTAACTATACATATATAGGGCAATGTATATATATAGTTTTCTCCCTCGCACGCAATCTTTCTCTTGCGATGTTTTGACAAATACGAGAACAAAGAAAAATATGACACTAGACAGACAGACAAACAAAATTATAAATGTGTATGTGCTCTATAATTGATTTGTTTCATGTAATAATAAAAAAAGATACAATTTTAATCGGATTATCAGAATTAAGAGGATGCCGGATAGAATACGAATATTAGTTAAAATGCAAAATATTTTTGTTGATTATAGATATCAATAAATCCTTTTCCATAATTAAAGTATACATAATAACGGAGTGCGGAGTTTATGATTTCATATGAAAAGTGAAAAAAAATTAAAAAATTACAGTTTTGTTATCGGCTTCTGCCGTCAACAATTACTTAATATAAAAAATTTGTTATCTGCACGTGCCTAACAAGTGAACTCCGCATTCGGCATTTTATCAAAAAGTATCAATGAACTTAGAGAAGTGAGTTTAGAAGCTTTATAAAAAAGATTTTACTATGCAAAATTTTGCACACCGAAATGTTTTTTACTAGGCTAAATACATTTTTAAACGTTCACTTATATTCTTTCATGCATTTCCGAGTGGAGAGGTATTTTATTTTGCACGTACACATTGCAAAATTTTTATATTAAGCAAATATATAATTATTATGGCCAGTAAAACAGGACGGTCCGGCATCCTCTTAATTCTTTTTTTTAATTCGTTATGTGCGTTTTCTTTTTTTTTATGTAAATGAAGATCTCAGATATCTCAAATTCTGATATGATAATTAATTTTAATTAATTTTAATGTTAATCACACATACAGTCAGAATCTTGTATAAAATTGATAGATTACATATAATCATAAATGATATTGTCAAACTTATCAAACAATCTCCACAATGATATCTCGATATTATAAATTAATATTGCATTATTAATATAATAGCTATTTAATTTTATATATTATTATTATATATTATTTCTACGAATTACAATAATATTTTCTTTTAGGATCTCTATTTTTATATACTTATAATCATTTCCAAAAAATTTTTTAAACAAAATTTTTATTAGATTAAAGTTTTACACTCTATTCTATAATAAAGATTGCGTAAAGATAAATTTTCGATAGATTATAGTTGTAACATTATCGCTGCTTATTTCTCATGTCGCTTGTTGATCAAAAAAATTAAAATATTTCTAAACAGACGACAGGAGTTGAACAAAGATGTTCGTTCAATTAATTAACGCACGAGCACTCACTTTATTTGAAAGAAAATTTGATTCTTGGATTTGATATTTTATACGGCGTATTATTTATAGATAGATTGTGTGTGTGTGACACAAAAAGATACATCACCTGAATGAACTGCCACAACGAGCGCTGAAGCGATGAGCAATATCGTGATCCTTCGGTGCATCTCGTTTCTTCGATAACTTTCGGTTTCACGATGAAATAGAAACGTAAACTGTACGCTCAGAGGGGGGTAGCGTCCTTCGTGAGAGAGAGAACCCTTGTCGTCGTGTA